CCTTCCTTCCTTCCTCCCTTCCCTTCCCTTCCCTTCCCTTCCCTACCCTTCCCTCCCTCCCTCCCTCCCTCCCTCCCTCCCTTCCTCCCTTTCTTCCTTTCCTTCCTATCCTTCCTTCCTTTTCTTTCTTTCTTTGAGACGGAGTCTCGCTCTTGTCGCCCAGCCTGGAGTGCAGTGGCAAGATCTCGGTTCACTGCAACCTCCGCCTCCCGGGTTCAAGCGTTTCTCCTGCCTCAGCCTCCTGAGTAGCTGGGATTACAGGCACCCGCCACCACGCCGGCGAATTTTTGTACTTTTAGTAGAGACGGGGTTTCGCCATGTTGGCCAGTCTGTTCTGGAACTCCGGACCTCAGGTGATCCGCCCGCCTCGACCTCCCAAAGTGCTGGGATTACAGGTGTGAGCCACCGCGCCCGGCCGGGACGACTTTTCAAGGGGAAATAGTCATTTCAATCCAGCCCACTTGTTAATCCTTTCAAAATAAAGTTATTTGGTTTTCATTGAGACCTGGATGTCTATTTTTGTTTTGAAGCCGTCTAACAAACTAGTTGCTGGGGTTTTTTCTAATTATAGAAGTGTGAAATAGTTTTCAAATAATATATAATTCAGGCTTTGTTCAGCTGCGGCTCCGTGGCTTAGCTGGTTAAAGCGCCTGTCTAGTAAACAGGAGATCCTGGGTTCGAATCCCAGCGGGGCCTGGCTTTCTGTACATTCCATGTTTTGTAATTTCACCTGGTGCAACTGAATTTACCACCAACAAATCTTGTAATATTCAGGCTTTTAAAAACTTTGCCAGAAAACAGTGGAGATACATTAGGTGAGAAGTGTAAAGTGCAACAGTTTCATGACAAGCTTTCATGTTATCTTTAAGATACAGTATTTGTCCTATTGTAAGGCTAGGTAGCCTAACATATCTGAGGTTAGCTCCTTTGCCCTACCGTGTGAGATCAAATGATGCAGATTCAACAGCTTTAGAAATAGGCACTTTTGGCCGGGCGAGGTGGCTCTCGTTTGTAATCCCAGCACTTTGGGAGGCCGAGGAGGGCGAATTACCTGAGGTCAGAAGTTCGAGACCAGCCTGGCCAATATGGCGAAACCCCGCCTCTACCCAAAACACAACAGTTAGCCGGGCGTAATCCCAGCCGTAGCTGTAATCCCAGCTACTCCGGAGATTGACGCAGGAGAATCGCTTGAATCCGGGAGGCGAAGCTTGCAGTGTGACGAGATGGCACCACTGCACTCCAGCTTGGGCGACAGAGAGACCCCCGTCTCAAAAAACAAAACAAAACAAAACAAAAAACAAAAATCCTCAACGCTATTGGAATAGAGATGGCACTCAAAACGTTTTTACAATAGACCACTAATGACTTTTCTAATTTTTTTTTTGAGACGGAATTTAGCTCTGGTTGCCCAGGCTGGAGTGCAATGGCGCCATCTCGGCTCATCACAACTTCTGCCTCCCGGGTTAAGGCGATTCTCCTGCCTCAGCCTCCTGAGTAACTGAGATTACACGCATGCACCACCACGCCCGGCTAATTTGGTGGGGTTTCTCCATGTTGGTCATGGCTAGTCTGGAACTCCCGACGTCGGGTGATCCGCCCACCTCGGCCTCCCAAAGTGCTGGGATTACAGGCATGAGCCGCTGCGCCCGGCCTTAGACTTTAAATTGATTACCATAATAGCTATTCCTCTTTGAATGATTCTGGACTTAGGATAACACCAAAGTTTCTGAAGAGACTGTGATATCATCTTAAATAATTATTAATGACAAAACTGATAAACTATTAATAATAGACTAGAGGCGAATGAAAAATGCATTTTAATATCTGAAGTCTTTTCTAGGCAGATTTTCACATAAAAGATCTGAGAAAAACACCAAACTCTAAAGAGTAAGGTGTTTCTGTCTTATCTGCTTTGTTTCTTTGGGTATTCTAAGACATATTAATTATATGTCTATCTTTACTCACATAGGTACATATTCTTTACTCAAAAAGACTTTCCTTCTTCAGGGGCAAAATGCCACTTTTCCTAGGATCCTCAAATGGACAGCTCTGTGTGTGTGTGTGTATGTGCGCGCGCTCTCAACGTAAGCCTTGTGTTGCCTTAAGCTAACTATGTGGTTCTTTCTTCTTCATATCCAGGTGTTAAATCCTGATATTGAGCACTAAATAAACTTTACTTTATTTTATTTATTTGTGTGTGTGTGTTTTTTTGAGACGGAGTCTCTCTGTCGCCCAGGCTGGAATGCAGTGGCGGTCTCGGCTCACTACAAAATCCACCTCCCCGGTTCTCCTGCCTCAGCCTCCTCAATAGCTGGGATTACAGGCGCCCGCCACCACGCCAGGCTAATTTTTGTATTTTTCAGTAGGGAAGGGGTTTCACCACGTTGGCCAGGCTGGTCTCAAACTCCTGTCCTCATGTGATCCGCCCTCCTCAGCCTCCCAAAGTGCTGGGATTACAGGCGTGAATCACTGCGCCCGGCGGGGCACTGAATAAACTTTAATAAATTCATTTGAATATTCCTGAAAAGGTGAAAGGTATGGCATGGCGATAATGGAAAATGTTGGGAAGGAGAAATAGTCTTAGGAGGCATTTCCATCTGGTATCCATCCAGAGAACTTTCAGCGTGTAAGGCGAACGTGTTAACAACTACATACAGAAAACAACTTTCTAACATTGTTATTCGACAGACTCGGCAGAGATTTTTCTAGAGTCCACTGTTCTTATTACCTTCTATAGTACTTTCTTCTCTTTGTTAAGACTGTTTAATGCTAACGCTGTGTCCACAATTCCACATAAGCAGCACACCACTTAGGAATGTCCAACACTCACAGATTGTTTTAAGTTTTCTGAACCTTGACTAAAATCTAAACCATGATCACACATGAAAAAATCTCAAGAATCTTGCCACTTTTCAGGACTGACATAGACATCTTGACTGGATTGTGGAGTCAGTCATTTTAATTTAGTAGAGACAGGATTTCACCCTGCTGGCCAGGCTGGTCTCCAACTCCTGACCTGGAGTGTTCCGCCTGCCTCTGCCTCCCTAAGATTTTTTAAATCTTTGGTTTCAATCATTTTTATATAATTTGAGCAGTTATAGTTTTCTTTATGTTTATCTTTGTTGGCATTTGTTGATGGAATTAAATTTGTGAGTTGATGTCAAATGTGTTCATTGACTAGTACACCTTAATAAATTTTTTAGAAAACCAAGAAACCAAAACTCTTCACTGGACGACATCTACAAGCCAAGAATTAAAGATTAGTTCCCAGCCTCTCCAATTTCTCTCATCATTTTCAGATTAAAACATATCTTCCTCTTTTGGAGCCACCTCCCTTCTTCCCTGATCCAGCCCATATATTCCCATTTAGTCTAATTTCTTTCCAAGCCCTGCTTCAAATCCTTGGATTTCCTCCCTAAGATTATGACCACTCCATTCAGTTCCTAATGACAAAAAATCGCGTTCTTCGTCTAAGAGCTACAGAGGGAGGAAAAAAAAAAAAGCTCATTTCCAACCTATCTACAACCATCATTCTTCTTTTTATCTATCAAGTCTCAGATCTGGCGTCGTTTTCTCTAGGAGGTCTTCCTTGATGGGCACTGGTGCAGTTTTTAGTTTTTTGTTTGTTTGTTTTTTTGAGACGGAGTTTGGTTCCTTGTTGCCCAGGCTGGAGTGCAATGGCGCGATCTAGGCTCACCGCAACCTCCGCCTCCGCCTCCCGGGTTCAAGCGATTCTCCTGTCTCAGACTCCCGAGCAGCTGGGATTACAGGCATGCGCCACCACGCCTGGTTAATTTTTTTTTTTTTTTTTTTAAGGTAGAAACGAGGTTTCTCCATGTTGGTCAGGCTGATCTCGAACTCCTGACCTCAGCTAATCCGCCCGCCTTGGCCTCCCAAAGTGCTGGGATTGCCGGCGTGAGCCACAGTGCCCGGCCCGCAGTTTTTTGACAACACGCTGCGCTGAACACTCCAAACAATATAGTCGACATATTTGGCGAACGCATTTCTGCTCGTATCTGTCATCGGTATGTGACATTGGTGATTCCAATTAATGAGAAAAGTGAGAGTGAGAACAATACTACAGTCGGAAACTTTTCTACAAAGAAAGAACAAATCCAAAATTTCTCAACTTGGGACAATCAGGGAATTATATACTTTTACGTTTCAAGGTAAGATGGCAGTTATACGAGGTTTCCGTAGTGTAGTGGTTATCACGTTCGCCTAACGCGCGAGAGGTCAACGGTTCAAAGGTCAACTATTCAAAACCGGGCAGAAACACGTGGGCTAGAATAGGGTTCCGTGGGTGCCTTCTACCCACGAACCCGTTTGCGGTTCTGGACTTTAAAAATACACAATTCTGAGCTCGATTTGTGGTCCAGAAGTCTAAAATGAAAGCCACTGGCACTGAAGCCCGTGTCTCCCCACCTCCTCTCGCCCCAGTAGGTTTCCCGTCCCTTTCCTTCCTCTTCTGGGCTTCAGAACCCTAGGAGGTGTGAATGCCAGGAGACGCCCACAGTCCAGGACTTGGCCCACGCCACTTAGGTAAGATTGGCTTCCTTGGAATCCCATTTTAGACCTCTGGACCACAAACAAATCGAACTCAGAATTGTGTATTTTTAAAGTCCAGAAGCCCAAACGGGTTTGTACGTGTAAGAGGGAATAGAAACCAAGCAGCAACAAAAGTTAATCCCAGTCCACGTGTTCCCGCCCGGTTTCGAACCGGGGACCTTTCGCGTGTTAGGCGAACGTGATAACCACTACACTACGGGAACCCGGCGTTAGTTCGTGCTTACCTCACTAAATTTCGGGGGTTCCCGTAATTCGAAATTCCGCAGCGGCCGCCACCGAGTGTCAGTTAACGGATAACAGACGTATCGGGCAATTAGTAGTAGTAGTACTATCGGTACTGTTAGTGCCACACAGTATTTCTAAAACCCATCAAGTGTGCACAGGAGGAAGACTTGTGAGGAGAGAAGGGTAAAGGAATAAATAAGAAGATATTCCTGCCCTCAGCGGCCTGGATAATCTGTATTGGACTAACAGACTTGAATTTTCGTGACCGCCTTTTCCCCTCAAGTTTCCACTACCCGAGAAGATCCTCTGGGACTTGATTCTCAGCGAGGCTTGACCTTAGACATTTCAATTCCAGTGCGTTCCTCCCAGTGGGAATTCGGGGCCCGGCTTCGTGCGCACTGGGGGGACTCCCGGCCCGGCTCGCTGCCAGGAGCCTTCTGTACAAACGCGACCTTCTTCGAGGACTCAGCAATGAGCGTTCAGCTGGGTTCGAAGCGAGCTCCCAGCAGGCAACCATCGTGAGTGAAGGAAGAGAACCCGACCGTTTCTGGAATCAGCTTAGTGTTCACGCCGTTTGCGAGATTTCTCTGAAATAAGAAAGAAAAACGAAAGGGTTAAAAAGTTTAGCGACTTTGTGTGTTTCGTCGCCTATTTTAGTAAAATTCGCGAACTTTAGGACAGTTTTTCTTCTGGGAAAGACATACACTCGAAGGGCGTTTCTACTTTCCTAATCTACGTTCAGGGAGATTATGTCCTCATTTTGTCTTCTAGCGTTAAACTCAGTTAACACCCTGCCTGCAATAAGTGACTCCCCGCAAGTGGCAAAGACTGGGCTCTCCTGATGGTCGATCGCCAACCCCCTACCCCCAGTGCACTAAGAGAACTCTCATGATCATGCTGATACATGAATTATTTCAAACTTATTGAAGGAAATTTAATTGACTTCCTTAGAGGTTAACTCACACCAGATCTCAGATTCTGGTTATTTTATATTTTGAGTCGGAATTTCACTCTTGTTGCCCATGCTGGTGTGCAATGGCACGTTCTTGGCTCATTGCAACTTCTGCCTCTCGGTCCGCCTCTCAGGTTCAAGCGATTCTTCTGGCTTAGCCTCCCAAGTAATCCCAAGTAATCCTGGGATTACAGGAATGTGCCACCACGCCCGACTAATTTTTAGTAGAGACGAGGTTTCACTATGTTAGGCTGGTCTCGAACTCCTGATCTCAGGTGATCCACCCGCCTCAGCCTCCCAAAATGCTGGTATTACAGGCGCGAACCACCGCGCCCAGATTCTGGTTATTTTGACAAGATAAAGGAAAGAGGAAGCAGAAACTAACATTTTAAGAATCTGGGCAGGGCGTGGTGGCTTACACCTGTAATCCCAGTACTTTGGAAGACCGAGGTAGACAGATCTTCTGAGGTCAGAAGTTCGAACAGGGCGAAACCCTGTCTCTACTAAAAATACAAAAATTAGCCGGGCGTGGTGGCTCACGTCTGTAATCCCAGCACTTTGGGAGGCCGAGGCAGGCTGATCACCTGAGGTCAGGAGTTTAAGACCAGCCTGGCCAGCATGGCAAAACGCCATCTCTACTAAAAATATAAAAAATAGCCGGGCGTGGTGGCACACTCCTGCAGTTCCAGCTACTTGGGGGGGCTAAGGCAGGAGAATTGCTTGAACCCGGGAGGCGGTTTGCAGTGAGCCGAGATCACGCCATTGCACTCCAGCCTAGGCAACAAGAGCAAAACTCTGTCTCAAAAAAAAAAAAAAAAAAAAAAAAAGAACCTGATATATATACTACACATTTTACAGGTGTTATCTTCTATAACACTTCTTATATATAAATTCCTGAAATGCCCTGCGTGTCTAACTTTTAAATGCGTCTTCATCTGCAAATCATGGTTTGCTGTCTCCTGCAGTCTATGCCTCATACTCCGTGAACTCCATGCAATCAGTCTCTCTCACTACTGGACTTTGCACCTGAGGTTCCCTCTAGCTGAAAAGCTTTGCGCTTGGCTTTGCCTAGTTAGTTATCTTTAGCTGGTGATTGGATCTCAGGGAAACTATTTTTTCTTTAGGAAAGACTTCCTTAAACTGCATTAATGAAAGTCCTATATTCCTCATAGTACCATGAGCTTTCTTCCCTTGCCAATTTTACATTTGTAAGTGTAATAACTAAATTGATGTCGGTCTCCCTGGAATGTAAGTTGCATTTGGACAGGAACAGTGTCTGTTCTTGCTCGTCAGTGAATCCATACTGCTTTGCCCTCAATGAATACCTTTAAATGTAAGCCTGAGCCCTTACCATGATTCTCTGAGTATTCTTTTCCTAATTTTAAGTTGAAGCACCGAGGCTTGCAGCGACCATCTGTCTTGCCTAAGAGTGAAGGCAAGACAATGTACGATGGTACATTCCTTAATGTACCATTGGATGTGGGTATATTTTTAACAAATCTCCAAAGTTCTGATCTTTGTAATTCCCTAGAAACTAATAATGGAAATCACTAGAACAATAGTAATATCTACAATTTATTACCAGCCATTAAATCAAGTATTTAATGATTTTTCCTACGTAAACGAACAAAGCAAGCCTCAGGTGTAGGTGTAATTGTTACTTACGATCATTTGCCTTTCTTATAGATGCAGAGGTTGAGGAGTGGGGAGGTTAAATAATATAAATAACTTCCTCAAGCTCACACAAGTTATAGAACTTGGAACCAGTATTTCTATCCATGTGTGTCTGAGGTCAAAGTATTCCTCACGGTCGGTCGCGCTGGCTCACACCTGTAATCCCAGCACTTTGGGAGGCCAAGGCTGGTGAATCACGAGGTCAGGAGTTCGAGACCCGCCTGGCCAACATGATGAAACCCCGTCTCTACTAAAAATACAAAAAATTAACTGCGCGTAGTGGCGGGCGCCTGTTATTCCAGCTACTCGGGAGGCTGAGGCAGGAGAGTAGCTTGAACCCGGGAGGCGGAGGTTGCAGTGAGCCAAGATCGTGCCACTGCACTCCAGCTTGGATGACAGAGTGAGACTCCATCTCAAAAAAAAAAAAAGTATTCCTAATTATTTCAGTTTTCTGGAAAAAGGAAGGGTCTATGAAAATACATGGGTATTAATAGGGTGAAACTGAGCATATAATATGAAAGTGATTTTTACAGTATAGGGAGAGGCAGAAAAAACTCAGTATAGAGATACTCTGAGGACATGGGGAGTTGCCAGAGATAACTGTTACAAATATTATGCTTGTAATTGGTACTACTTCCTGGAGAAAATGGGAAGTGCATATTTCAGAGTAAAAGGAGGATGTTTTTCATTTAAAAGAATTTGTATGAACAATGGTACCAATGCCCAGGAAATATTCCCTAATGCAAATTAAATGTATTGCTACCCTTGGATGTGGGTATTAGAGAAATTCTAGTCTGCCAGGCGCAGTGGCTCACACCTATAATCCCAGCAATTTGGGAGGCTGAGTTGGGCAGATCATCTGAGGTCAGGAGTTTGCGATCAACCTGGCAAACATGGCAAAACCGGGTCTCTATTAAAAATACAAAAAAAATTAGCCGGGCTTGGTGGCACTAATTCCAGCTACTCAGGAGGCTGAGGCAGAAGAATTGCTTGAACACAAGAGGCAGAGGTTGAAATGAACGGAGATCACACCACTGCACTCCAGCCTGGGCAACAGGGTGAGACGCTGTCTCAAAAAAGAAAAAAGAAAGAAAAAAAGAAAGAAATTCTAGTCAGATACATGGTTCTTTTGGTGAAAGCTGTTTGTTTTGGTAGCAAGAACCATTCCACTTCCCTTAGAGTCCTTTCCCTTTCCACATTTCAGCCTAATTTGCCTCCTTGCCCTCCTCAACTACACTGTCTTCCTCTAAGTCTCCCTGGAAGATCTAGGCAGGAAATCTGAATATCTGAGCTTCACTCTTGGTGTTTATTGTGTTGTGTCCCTGGGAAACTCAATGACCTCTCCGAATTTTATTTTCTAATCTGTGAAATGGGATAATGAAATCTGTATTCTAATGTATTTTCAGCAAATATTTATTGAATGTCACCCATATCTCTTCTAGGTATTAGTAATCTGACAGTAAACAAATATCTTGCCCTCATGGAGTTTGCATTCTCATAGGGAAGACAGACAATACACAAAATAAATAAGTTATATAGTGTGTTTTTAAAATGATCATAAGTGGGCCGGGCATGGTGGCTCATGCCTGTAATCCCAGTACTTTGGGAAGCGGAGGTGGGTGGATCATCTGAGATCAGGAGTTCAAGATGAGCCTGGCCCAACATGTTGAAACCCTGTCTCTACTAAAAATACAAAAATTAACAGGGCGTGGTGGCAAACACCTGTAATCTCAGCAACGCAGGAGGCTGAGGCAGGATGCTTGCTTGAGCTCAGGAGACAGAGGTTGCAGTGAGCCGAGATCATGCCACTGCATTCCAGCCTGGCAGACAGAGCAAGACTGTCAAAAAAAACCCAAAAAACCAAAAAAACAACAACAACAAAAACTGAACCCTGAGATATCCTCATAGAACGATGAAGGAGAGCAGGAAGAACCAGCAAAAGAGAAGTTGAAGGAGACAATAAGTGGTGAAAAAATAGACAAATAGATCAATGACAAATAATAATGACAAATAGATCTAGAGAGACCAGAAATAGACCCGCACAAATATAGTAGTCAAGTAGTCAATCTTTGACAAAGAAGCAAAGTCAACACAATAGAGCAAAGATAGTCTTTTCAACAAATGGAAACAATCGAACAACTGAACTTCCACATGCAAAACAGTGAACCTAGACACAGACTTTACACCCTTCACAAATATTAACTCAAAATGGATCATAGCCCTAAATGTAAAATGCAAAACTGTTAAACTAAAATGTAACAGGAGAAAGCCTAGATGAAAATGGGTATGGCAATGATATTTTATGTTATTTTATTACTCAATTAGGAAATTTTATTGAAACAATGTGAGTGAATAATTTTTGCTGCAAGTTTACAACTATTTACAACTAATAAATTTTGCTGCAAGTTTACAACTATTAAGATATGATTATGAAAATGGGTTGATCACTAATGAATGGGTTTGTCATTAGAGACCAACCCATTTTTTAAACATAAAATGAAGGGTCAGGCATTCATTTTATGAGGTAGTTTAGTGAGCATAAACTACCTCAGTATCAATAAAATATATTTTTAAAATCAGAAATAATTAAAGTGATGCATATCTATTTTGTTTTTGTTATTAACTTCATGGGCACCCATGAAAGGATTCTTACGATTCTAATAATCTTACGATTGTCAGAAGTAATATATGGAGGAAGAAATAAGACAAAAGACCTACAAAAGGCCGGGCGCGGTGGTTCACGCCTGTAATCTCAGCACTTGGGAGGCCAAGGCAGGCGGATCACGAGTTCAGGAGATCGAGACCATCCTGGCTAACACGGTGAAACCCCGTCTCTACTAAAAATACAAAGAATTAGCCGGTCGTGGTGGCATATGCCTGTAGTCTCAGCTACTCGGGAGGCTGAGGCAGGAGAATTGCTTTATCTGGGGGGGGTGGATGTTGCAGTGAGCTGAGATCTCGCCACTGCACTCCAGCCTGGGCGACAGAGCGAGACTCCGTCTCAAAAAAACAAAACAAAACAAAAAACAAAACCTAAGACAGTTGCTCATAAAGAAAGCAACAAAGCTAAGACTCCCACTCAGAGAGTGAGCAGTAGTCCTCTCGTTGGGGGCAGGCCAAAAGGAGGACTCCCATGGAACCTAGCTTGGGTCCCAGTTGGCAGAACAATATAAACAGATGTTCTGCTGGGTGACTCGAATAATTCTTATTTTTATATGCAATCTTTCAGAAAAGAACTATAATAATTATGATGTGATATTATTCTAGAGAATAATTGATATTTTTACTTTATTAACCTTTTTCTTGTGTGCATACAAACATGCACACATACATAGTTTTGGAGGAAAAGACAGTTATAGTTCATAGTTTACTACAAATGCATATTATCCAACCCGATAGAAATTTACTACAAATGCATATCATACAATTCGATAGAAATCTATGTGCTCCAGAATGTACAGAAGGTATGCAATGTTCCAGAGAGTGTCATTGTCAGCTCTGGTTTTTTGTTTTGTTTAAAGACAAGGTTTCATTCTGTCATTCTAGTGCAGTGGTGTGATTAGGGCTCACTGAAACCTCTGCCTCCCAGGCTCTAGCCATCCTTCCACATCAGCCTCCCAAGTAGCTGGGGCTACAGGTGTGTTCCACCACACATGGCTAAGCAATCACTTTTTAGATAAAACAGCAAAGGTATATCCCATGAAAGAAGTAATAAGCTTCATTAAAATTTAAAATTCTACTCTGCTAGAGACAATATCAAAAGAGTAAGAAGACAAACCACAGATTAAAGAAAATATTTGCAAAAAGCATATGTAATGAACAACTTATTCAAAATATGCAAAGGACTCTTAAAACTAAACAGCAGGAACACAACCCAATCAAAAAATGGGCTAAAGACCCTAACATATACTTTGCTAAAGAAGATATGCAGATGGCCAATGAGCATAAGAAAAGATGCTCCACATTATATGTAAACAGAGAAATGCAATATTGTTTTAATCGTATTATACCATTTACTACCCACCTATTAGAATGGCCAAAATCTGGAACACTGACCACACCTATGCTGGTGAGGATATGGAGCAACAGGAACTCTCATTCATCGCTGGTGGGAATGCAAAATTGTACAGCTACTTTGGAAGACAGTTTGGTGGTTTCTTACAACACTAGACATATTTTTATTATATGATCCAGCAATCATACTCCTTGGCAACTATCCAAAGGAGCTGAAAACATGTCTACACAAAAACCTGCACATAAATGTTTATAGAAGTTTTATTCATAATTGCCAAAAGTTGGAAGTAACCAATATGTCTTTCAGTAGGTAAATGAATAAATATACTATGGTACATTAGATAATGGAATATTATTCAGCCCTAAAAATAAATGAGTTATTAAAGCACGAAAAGACGTGGAGGAATGCTTATTACTAAGTGGAAGACAAACAGGAAAATTGTTACCCTAAAGTCAATTGAAGAAAGTGTTGTAAGAAGGAGAATGTATTAAAAGCTGCAGCTATCCCAAGTAAGGTGAGGACTGGGAAATTATTTTAGCCATGTGGAGATAATTGGCGACCTTGTCAAGGGATAATAGGATCACTGACAGTCCTTCAGAGGCTGGTAGGTAGATGAATGTGGTGATAGATGTGCGTGGAAGGTCTCTCCTGATTGTGAAGTAGGAAGTAAAGTCATCAATTGACCACAAGGATGGGAGAGGAGGTGTTGGAGCACTGGGATGAAAGATATGAAATAGTGACAATTTTTTTTTTTTTTTTTTAGATGGAGTTTCACTGTCTGTCGCCCAGGCTGGAGGGTAGTGGCACCATCTCAGCTCACTGCAACCTCCATCTCCCGGGTTCAAGTGATTCTCCTGCCTCAGCCTCCCGAGTAGCTGGGATTACAGGCACGCACCATCACACCTGGCTAATTTTTTTGTATTTTTAGTAGACACGGGGTTTCGACATGTTGGCCAGGCTGGTCTCGAACTCCTGACCTCAGATGATCCCCACCCCCACCCCCCCCACCGCCCCCGGCTCGGCCTCCAAAATGCTGGGATTACAGGCTTGGGCCACTGCATCTGGCTGAAATAGTGACTTAGAACAAGAGGATTGGGAGTGGACTAATCCAATTGCGTATGGTACAATTTGCCTGGTAGCCTTGAGGACCTACTTGAGATTTATTGTCATGAATTTAAAGTGAGATCTGTCAACTGATTTTATGTTTTTCTTCCGCCATGTTTAGCTGCCCTGGTTGTGGCTTTGCCAAAGGAGTACAAAGTGGGAGAGGCAGGGAAATTGACAGTGTAGCAATCCAACAACTGAACTTCCACATGCAAAACAGTGAACCTAGACACAGACTTTACACCCTTCACAAGTATTAACTCAAAATGGATCATAGCCCTAAATGTAAAATGCAAAACTGCTAAACTAAAATATAACAGGAGAAAGCCTAGATGAAAATGGATATGGCAATGATATTTTATTTTATTTTATTACTCAGAAAATTTTATTGAAACAATGTGAGTGACTTTAATATGTGCTGGGTAAGGAGAGAAGAAAAAGCATGAACCGGAGGGAGGAACAGGGAACAGACAATTGAGTCTCTGGGGATTTGTTCCAGCAACAAAAGCAGCCACTAAACACCAAACAAATTTTCGATGCATAGAGAGTCAGATAATAGGTAAAGATTAAGACACTATTATGTCTCCCAGGAGCTTCTTGTTGAAAGAGAGAGACAAATATATAAAAAGTGACAAAAACAAACATGGAGGCATTAACCTGCTGTGGGAACCTTAAAGCGTGAGAGAGCCTAACACGACTTACTAAGAGACAAAGCGGGTTCCCGAGGCTGTGATGGCCGAGTGGTTAAGGCGTTGGACTCGAAATCCAATGGGGATTCCCCGCGCAGGTTCAAATCCTGCTCACAGCGTTGCTGTTTTCTGGTTGGGTTTCCAATTTGCTTTCATCATTCCCCGCCCCCCAGGAGTTAGCGTTCCTGAGGACGGAAAGCTGTGAGTGCTATCGCTGTGGCTTTTACAGCGCGCACACTTGTGAAAATGTACATCAAGAAGTAACGTTACTCGGAAGCCTGAGGCAAGAGAATCGTTTGAACCTGGGAGGCGAAGGTTGTAGTGAGCTGAGGTCGCGCCACTGCACTCCAGCCTGGGCGATAGAGTGAGACTGTCTCAAAGAAAAATAAAATATTGGTTGTCTTACGTCTAATCATAATGGCACAGACGAGACAGGTGCAATGTTGAAAATATAAGGAATACAATTTCCCTTTTAGATTAATAGTATGACAGCTTTCTTAAAGCACTCTCAGGCAGCAATCTTTACTTCGTATTTGTCCTGATCTCACAGCTGGTGGGAGCCAAAAAATTTAGGATGATAACAATCCATCATATGTATTAGCTGCTCTTCAAAGCGTTTTGTATCAACGAGGAAACGGAGGCACAAAGAGGATACATTTTGGTTTCTGACTACCTTCTTAAACCCATACGAAACTTCGTCTCCTTATAAAAGCGCTTCGTCATTTTCCACTACTTTGCCTACTTTGCCTACTTTGAACAGCTATGCAAGTAAAGTTCCTTGTTTCTAAGTTTCCATGTCAAATGTGATTCTGAAAAAAGTGTACTTTCCTGAATTCTTGCCTCCTTGTTAAATTTGAGTGTCTTCATCTGCTACTTTGAGTTGTAATACCGTTTTACAATAAACTTCTCCCTAGTGAGTGAGTACTTGTTTTTTCCTTTTGGATAAGAGGAAAAAACTATGACTAATGCCTCCAGAAATGTATTACAAAGCACTTTACTTTTTGCAATATCTAAATTTAAAATAATACAGATTGCTCATTACTGATCCACATACATCGTTAGTGCCCTATGTAAGTATATTAAAAATGAAGTTCAGGCCAGGCGCAGGGGCTCACGCCTGTAATCCCAGCACTTTGGGAGGCCGAGGCGGGCGGATCACCTGAGGTAGGAAGTTCAAGATCAGCCTGACCAACATGGAGAAACCCCGTCTCTACAAAAAATACAAAATTAGCCGGGCATGGCGGCACATGCCTGTAATCCCAGCTACTTGGGAGGCTGAGGCAGGGGAATCGCTTGAACCCAGGAGGCAGAGGTTGCGGTGAGCCGAGATCGCGCCACTGCACTCCAGCCTGGGCAACAAGAGCCAAACTCCGACTCAAAAAAAAAAAAAAAAAAAAAAAAAAAAAAAAAAAAAAAAAAAAAAAAAATTCAGGTAAAAGCAGCTGATTGGCCTGAAAAATAAGTTACAAAGAGCTCAAAAGTAGGCACACACATAAAAGGGAAGATAGAAACACTAATATTGCTTTGAAGACATTCATCTTAGCACATATATAGTGTTTCAAATATGAAAATTGGTCATTATTTTCAATAAAGACACTTTATGTGAATGTCTATTATGCCAACAAACTACAAAAGAAAACATGGTTTCCTAGAATCAGTGCGGTTTTGGGGTTTTAATCGCTACCTAAATAAAGATACAATCTTTTTTTTTTTTTTTTCCCATGGCCCCAATAGTATAATACAACATAATTATGAAAAGAGTAACAGTAAAAACGACTTACGGGCACGGGCCAGTGGCGCAATGGATAACGCGTCTGACTACGGATCAGAAGATTCTAGGTTCGACTCCTGGCTGGCTCGCTTGTGCTCACCATTTTCCTTCTTCAAAGCCGTATTAACAATCCCGTGAATGTCCTTGTCCAGAGTGGTGCTGTTACTTGAATGTGAAAGAGACAAGAATCGAAGAAGCCAACCTACAAGATTTTGTTGCTACCTTTCATCTCTTTCTCAACTTGAGAAGGGAGAAAGGAGAAAAAGACCATTAGAAAGCTTAAAAATCAAAGAAACAAAAAAAATTTTTTTCCACGTAAATCTTCTTCATCAGTGTTTTTTTTTTTCCACTGGGAGAGGTCCACACTCCTGGCGTCTCTGAGGCACAGCTTTTTCCCTGGGCATGACTGTTGTCAAAAAGAAAGGGGACATCTGAAGAAACGTTGAATCATAAAGGCAGGGCTGTGGCGGATGCGGGATGCAAGCTGCTCCTTGCGTCAGTTGGGCCCCCTACACAGAGCTCAACTGTGAAGTCGGTGGACCCAACTCAGCCTCAACATGGCCCGCATCCACCACTCCCGCCACGGGCTTCTAACCCGCCTCCCAGGTCCCCACCACTTTTCCTCCGCCCTGAGATCCTCAAGAAATAGAAGACAGGAGAATAGGCAGGGACAAAGATAGATAGACAGACAGATGATTGATTGATAGATAAATAGATAGATAGATAGATAGATAGATAGATAGATAGATAGATAGATAGACAGACAGACATCCCAGAAGAAGATGAGTGTGGAAGGTGGCAGCTTTGGGGCGGTGTCTGAACAGATGGACCTCCTTTCTCAGCGACGAGGAAGATGGTGGAGGAGAGAGAGGCTGGGAGGCAACCAGAGTCAAGCGGGGGAAAATTCCTCAAACTAAACCAAAAGAGCATCTTAATATGTGGCTCGGTTTCCGAACGTATAGCTTGGATCTTCGCTCTGCATCTCAGGTGAGTTTACTACAGTTACTTACCAGTGTGCACTGTCAGCGGCATTGCGGGTAAACAAATGAAACCACAAACCTGGTAGTCCAGGTGTGTTGGGCTGTGGACGGGTCGAACGGAGAATTGGCGATTCTTAAAACACCGCATTCACTTCCATGCTCTTTAAGCTACAGGGGGGAAATTTTTCGTGAAAGCCAGTGGCAGCCTCACGTGGAGTGGACATTTATTTGCCTTGGAAACTGCCTCGGGTCAGAAAAAAAGAATGAAGCACAGCTGTTACGGGAAACAAAACCTCGCATCTTGCTATACTATTAGTACCACACTCTCACCAAGTCACTGGCCACTCCGAACCTGCTTCCCTTTCCCTACCGAAACTCGTTTAAAGCGTCAAAATAATATCGTCTCCCTTTGAATATTGAGAATGAAAAAAAAATTGAAAAAAGTGTATATTGCTTCCTAACGTTTCACTAAAAACTAAGCAGGCAATTGTCTTACCTCTTCTTAATTTCCCATTCCCTAAAACACACCCATCTAGCTGCCACACTACTCCACTATTTTCTTCAATACATTCTTCCTAATGCTTGCATCTTTTCTGTTGTTCTTTGTTTTGGGACGGAGTTTCGCTCCTGTTGCCCAGGCTGGAGAACTATGGCGCGGTCTCATCTCACCGCAACCTACGCCTCCCGGGCTCAAGTGATTCTCCTGCCTCAGCCTCCCGAGTAGCTGGGATTACAGGCATGAGCCCAGCTTATTTTGTATTTTTAATAGAGACCATGTTGGTCAGGCTGGTCTCCAACTCCTAACCTCAAATGATCCCCCCGCCTCGGCCTCCCAAAGTACTGGGATTATAGGTACCAGCCCCTGCGACGGGCCTGTTCTTTTTACTTTTTACAATAAAGGGAAACGAAAAATAGCCTTCTCGCTGGATGAATAAGGCAGCGTCTTAATTTTGGATTCAGGGCAGCGGTTATTCGACAGGCTTAAGTTAAAAGGTCATCATTACGATAATCCAGTGGCCCGTACGGGGATCGAACCCGCGACCTTGGCGTTATTAGCACCACGCTCTAACCAACTGAGCTAACCGGCCACGCAGATATTGGTGGGTTTTGAGGGAAGACATATATAACTTGATTGACATTTTTGTTTTTCTAAATAAAACAGCTTCTTTTTTCTTTCTTTTTTCTTTCTTACTCCTTTCAAAAGAGACCTTTAAGACTATATTCACAGACTTTAGCAAGGAAGTCCAAACTATTTTAACTCTGAGCCAGACCAGAAAATCTGCGGAGAATCCACGGAGAAATTTTTGACAGACGATGTGGAAAAAGCACTATAATAGGATTTTCAATGGTGAGTGAAGGTAACCTCCTCTTTTTATTTTATTTTTGTTGTTGTTAGGCAGCAATTTTTTTTTTTTTTTTTTTTTTTAAACAGCGCTTCTCCTTGCGGGGTATGGCTAATTCAAAGGCAGTACGCCCAGAGTAGGCAGCTGTCTCTTTTTAGAGGCACGTCAGCATACTGGATCGCAAGTTGCAAACTTTCCTTTAGTGACTTGTAACTTAAGGACCTATTATTTTCAAGTTGGTTCAAGAAAACGCCGCTGAAAGGAAGGTGAATGGGGTTGAGGGAAGGAGCCGCGCCTTCTCGGTGTCTCTGAAGTCACAAACGTAAGCATTGATGTCATTGGCGAAGATATCCAGGGGTGGAAACTGAGGTAGCCCAGCAGTACCGGAATCCCATAGTAAACCTGGTACGTTTTTTGAGGGTGGTAGAAAAGGGCTACAGAGGTTTGCAGAAGGGCAAGATTGTGGTGGCACTCCGCTAGGTATTAAGGCTCATTTAACAGCACTTGTGTGTCACTCAAATTCCAACTTGGGAACCGAAGGATTTCAGCCGGAGTTGGAGAGGCCAGAATAAGTGACATGCGCTCTTTCATCCTTGGTCACGCTACTGGTTTTACCACCTGGATACAAGTTCAAAGAAACCTCTTGCAGCGTCAGGAACTCTCTCTCTGCATGTCCTGGAGTTTCCTTTGTGTTTTTGGAACTTTCAAGATCACTGACTCCTAACAAACTTTTAACGAATATATTAGCAGTTAAATGAATCAATAAGTAACGATTTTGTTGATTCTAAAACTGACGCTGGCGCGAGGAAGAAGTGTTGGAATTCTAGTGTTACTCTTAATGTATTCAACGGTTACAGACCGAAGTACCACCAGGAGCTTCGATGTTTTATTCTTCTAGTCCTCAAGAGCTTTTATCCTAGGTGTCAAGAACTGAGGCTTCTACTTGCTCAAAAATAACCTGAAAGGAAACTCTCTGATACAGTTCCTGCAGTCACACATCCTCTTCACCCGTCCCAAAGAATTACATTCTGGCTTTCGAGGATCCCTCTTGCACATTCCGACTGGTGTTTATAGACCTTCGAAGTTCACATGTAGGCCGGGCGCGGTGGCTCAAGCCTGTAATCCCAGCACTTTGGGAGGCCGAGACGGGCGGATCACGAGGTCAGGAGATCGAGACCATCCTGGCTAACACAGTAAAACCAGGCCCGGCGCGGTGGCTCAAGCCTGTAATCCCAGCACTTTGGGAGGCCGAGACGGGCGGATCACGAGGTCAGGAGATCGAGACCATCCTGGCTAACACAGTAAAACCAGGGGCGCGGTGGCTAGCGTATCCAGCATTGGGGCGAGCGGGGGTCACGAGGTAGGATCGAGACATCGGCTAACAGTAAACCCCGTCTCTACTAAAAATACAAAAACTTAGCCGGGCGAGGTGGCAGGCGCCTGTAATCCCAGCTACTCGGGAGGCTGAGGCAGGAGAATGGCGTAAACCCGGGAGGCGGAGCTTGCAGTGAGCTGAGATCCGGCCACTGCACTCCAGCCTGGGTGACAGAGCGAGACTCCGTCTCAAAAAAAAAAAAAAAAGAAATTGTGTTTACTTTATTATTCTTATTATTCTTTTCCTTTCTTGAGACAGGGTGTCTCTCTGTTGCCCGAGCTGAAGTGTAGCTCACTGCAACTTTGAACTCTTGGGTCAAGGAATCCTCCCACCTCAACCTCTTGAGTGGCTGGGACTACAGATGTGTTATTAACATTAACATCTTGCATTAATGTGGTACGTTGGTTGCAATTAATGAATCAACATTAATACAATATCAACCAGTCGCAGTGGCTCATTCCTATAATCCCAGCACATTGGGAGGCCTAGGTGGACGAGTTTGAGACCAGCCTGGCCAACATGGAGGAACCCTGTCTCTATTAAAAATACAAAAATTAGCTGGGTGTGGTGGCCGGTGCCTATAATCCCAGCTACTCGGGAGGCTGAGGCAGGAGAATTGCTTCGACCCGGGAGGCAGAGGTTGCAGTGAGCTGAGATCATGCCACTGCACTCCAGCCTGGGCAACAGAGCAAGACTCTGTCTTGAAACTAAAAGACAAAAAACAAACAAACAAAATATGCATGTAAAGTTCCTCTATGTCTTTTAATGACTTTATAGCTGATTTCTTTTTTTTTTTTTTTTTTTTGAGACGGAGTCTTGCTCTGTCACCCAGGCTGGAGTGCAGTGGCCGGATCTCAGCTCACTGCAAGCTCCGCCTCCCGGGTTTACGCCATTCTCCTGCCTCAGCCTCCCGAGTAGCTGGGACTACAGGCGCCCGCCACCGCGCCCGGCTAGTTTTTTTTTTTTTTTTGTATTTTTAGTAGAGACGGGGTTTCACCGTGTTAGCCAGGATGGTCTCGATCTCCTGACCTCGTGATCCGCCCGCCTCGGCCTCCCAAAGTGCTGGGATTACAGGCTTGAGCCACCGCGCCCTGCCTATAGCTGATTTCTTTTTGTCACTGAACAATATTTCATTGTATAGATATACCACAGCTTGTTCATCTATTCGCCTATTGAAGGACAGCTTGGTTGCTTCCAAGTTTTGAAAATTATGAATAAAGTTGTTATAAACACTCATGTGCAGGTTTTTTGTGGACTTAAGTTCTTTAATTCTTTGGGTAAGTATTAAGGAGTGCAATTGCTGAATTTTATGGTAAAAGTATATTTAGCTTTTTAAGAAACTGCCAAATTGTCTTTCAAAGAGGTGGTACCATTTTGCATTTCCACCAGCAATGAATGAGAGCTGGTGTCGCTCCACATCCTCACCAGCATTTGGTGTTGTCAGTGTTCTGGATTTTGGCCATTTTAATAGGTATGTTGTGTTATCTCATTTTTTAAAATTTGAATCTCCCTGAACATATACTGTGGAGCATCTTTTCATATGTATATTAATCACCTATATATCTTCTTTGGTGAAGTGACTGTTAAGGTCTTTGGCCATTTTTTCATGGGATTGTGTTCTTACTGATGAGTTTTAAGATCTCTTTGTGTATTTTGAATAACAGTACTTTATCTGATATGTCTTTTGCATGTATTTTCTCCCAGTCTGCGGCTTGTATTTTCATTGTCTTGGTGTTATAGTGTTTTTTATCACTAGCAGGTCTTTTTGGTTCTTTCTAAGAATTTCCATCTCTCCGCTTACATTGCCCATGTGTTCTTGTATGCTGTCATCTTATTCTTAGTATCTTAATCAGTTGTTTCAAATTCCTGGTCTGAGAATTCCAACATCCCTGTCATATTTGAGTCCGGTTCTGATGCTTGCTCTCTCTCTTTAAACTGTGTATTTTGTCTTTTTTTTTTTTTTTTTAATGTCTTGTTATTTTTTTCTTGATAGCAGGACATGCTGTACTGGGTAAAATGAGCTGCTGCAAGCAGGCCTTTAGTAATGTGGTGACAAAGTGTGGAGGGAGAAAAGCATTCTGTAGTCTCACAAGTAGGTCTCAGTCTATTAGTGAGCCTATGTCTCTGGACTGTGAGCTTTAAACATGCTTTTTAGGTTTTTCCCCACTTTCGGTGGTACTGGATGGCTAGAGTGGGCTGGAGTTATTTCCCTTCCCGTAGATCCATCGGGCTCTTGATAAAACCCCAGCAGGTTAGATTGAGATTAAATGGTTTCTCCTGAGGGCAGACCTTGTTAAGAATAACAGAATGGGCCCAGCGCAGTGGCTTATGCCTGTAATCCCAGCACTTTGGGAGGCCAGGCAGGTGGATCACCTGAGATTAGGAGTTCAAGACCAGCTTGGCCAACATGGCGGAACCCCGTCTCTACTAAAAATACAAAAATTAGCCGGGCGTGGTGGCAGGTGCCTGTGATCCCAGCTGCTCAGGAGGCTGATGCAGAAAGAACTGCTTAAAACCCAGGAGGTGGAGGTTGCAGTGAGCTGAGATCGTGCCGCTGCACACCAGCCTGGGTGACAGAGCGAGACTCCGTCTCAAAAAAAAAAAGAACAGAATGCTCTGGCCTGTTGCAAACTGGTTCTTGCCCCACCCGCTACCAGAGGGGATTTTTCTCTCTCATTGTGAGAACCTAGTTGAGCTCCTGACATAAAGTTCACAGATTTATAGCTGGAGATTTTTCCTTGAGATTTGTCCACAGAAAGCCTCGAGCAGTTTCTTAATTACAGCTCAGGTGTCCCTGCTCCAGCACTGATTCACATGGAGGATTTTGCTCTTTGGGTTTCTGGTCTGGTAAGTTGTGGTACTCTGTATTTGCCTTTCTGTCTCTCCAGTTTTGGGGGCAGTGGTTTGCGCTGTGACCTCACACGACGTATGGAAAACCTTAAGCCGTGAGTGTGGATTTTCCTGTTTTTAGTTCCAGTGTGGTTTTGTTGTTGTTTTTCTTTCACTATTTAGTTCCTGTGAACCATCAGGTCTTCTTAAGCTGTAATTTTGAAATTATAATAGGTTAACAAGAAGTTACAAAGAAAGTAGAGAACTCCCCTGTACCCTTAACCCAGTTTCCTACAAAGATTACTTCTTTTTTTTTTTTTTTTTTTTTTTTTGAGATGGAGTCTCGCTCTGTCGCCCAGGAGGGAGTCCAGTGGCGTGATCTTGGCTCACTGCAACCTCCGCCTCTTGAGTTCAAACGATTCTCCTGCCTCAGGATCCAGAGTAGCTGGGATTATGGTCACCCACCACCATGCGCGGCTAATTTTTGTATTTTTAGTAGAGACAAGGTTTCACCATGTCAGCCTAGCTAGTCTTGAATTCCTGACCTCAGATGATCCACCCATCTCAGCCTCCCAAAGTGCTGGGATTACAGGGGTGAGTCACCCAATGTGCTGGCCCAATGGTTACTTCTTATATAACACAATATCAAACACAGGAATTTGACATTGGTATGACATGTGTGTATGGTTCTAGATAATTTTTATCACGTGTAGATTTGTGTAGCTAACACTGGAAACCAGACACGAAACAATTCCAGCACCACAAAGATCTCACTGTGAATGCCATCCCTTAATTAGTCATACCCACTTACCTCTCCTCTTGACAAAAATTATTTATTTATTTATTATTTTTTTTTGAGATAGAGTCTCGCTCTGTTGCCCAGGCTGGAGTGCAATCTTGGCTCACTGCAACCTCTGCTTCCCCATTCAAGTGATTCTCCTGCCTCTGCCTCTGCCTCCCAAGCAGCTGGGATTACAGGTGTCAGCTGCCAGGCCTGGCTACTTTTTCTATTCTCAGTAGAGATGAAGTTTCACCATGTTGGCTAGGCTGGTCTCAAACTCCTGACTTCAAGTGATCCTCTTGCCTTGGCCTCCCACAGTGCTTGGATTACAGGCGTGAGCCACTGTGCCCAGCCTTGACAAAAATTCTACAATTCTTTTTCATTTTGAGAATGTTATAGATATAGAATCATATAATAGATGACCTTTAAAGATTGGCCTTTTCCACAGCCTAGTTTCCTCAAGATCCATCCAACTCGTGATATCAATAGCTCCTGACTTGTTATTGTTGAGTATTCCATGGTATGGATGGACAACCGTTTATTTAACCATTCATATATTGAAAGACATTTTGATGCTTTCTAGTGTTTTGCTATTACAAATAAAGCTGCTATGAACCATTTTATACAAATTTTTGTGTGGATATAAGTTTTCACATCATTTTTGGTCTATATATTTTGAAACTATGTTATTGAATGCATACACATTTAGAATGTTTATGTTTCTCTTTTATAAAATGTCTCTTCCATTACTATAAAATGCATCTCTTATTGTTATGAAATATCTCTGTGGTAATGCTTCTTGTCTTAAATTCTACATTTTAAAAAATATTGGCCGGATGTGGTGGCTCACACTATAATCCCAGCACTTTGGGAGGCTGGGGCGAGAGGACCACAGGAGGTCAGGAATTTGAAACCAAGCTGGCCAATATGGTGAAACTCTGTCTCTACTAAAAATACAAAAATTAGCTGGGCATGGTGGTGCACACCTGGAATCCCAGCTACTTTGGAGGCTGAGGCAGGAGAATCGCTTGAACCCGGGAGATGGAAGTTATAGTGAGCTGAGATCACGCAACTGCACTCCAGCCTGAGTGAGAGTGTGAGACTCCATCTCAAAAA